CGGTGTCTTCTCATGTGGCACCATTTCTAGTCCTTTTTCTGCAAAAAGAAAATCAATATCAAATACAACTTAGAATATTTAGACGCCATAAAAGAGCCAGTTAACTCCTCTACATACGTCTGATGAAAAATGTGCTAAGGCCACATGTGGAGTGGAAAGCCTTAATCTTAAGCCACTCCGGATGGGGTACCCAATTCTTGGGTACAATAACCTCGGACCCGTCATCTAGGGGCATGGTTGTTTTCTTAAACAGCTCCGCCTCTATTAGTTGTGTATGGTATATGCCTCCTCCGGGATGCGAGGAAGGGCACACTTCTTTCCTAGAAGAGTCGAATCCCTTTTATAGTGCCGAAGATGACGGTTCAGGCGAAGAGAAGGAGAGGAGACTAAGTAAAACTTGCTCTTCCAACTTTTCCATTTTGACGGTTTGTCGAGCGTCATCATATATTCCGGGTGAGTGGTCAAAGTATACCACGCCCGCTAACCGCCTGGGGCACGACTAAGTTAGTGCATATGTGCAAACGCCTCCCAGCTAGGCATTACATTTTGAATCTCGCAGGCAGCAGTATATCCTAAAATGTTCGCCCAAGAATTGGATGTTAACTGCCAAACGCCCAAATCATAGCCTCTCAATATAGCTCTGATGGCGTTGTGAAGAGGGAACCCGAGGCCGACTTTAAATGCCGCCTCATAACAGCCAAATAGTTATCGGCGTGATCAATGTCGTCATCCCAGACAACGGTTGCCTCTGTAGGCGGTACTAATACCTCCCACCTATCCCCAACCGGGCACTTCTTAATAAAGCCGGGGAAGGTGGCATTAAGGATAGCGATGTCCCTGGCGGACATGCTCGCTTCAATAGGGTTATTGATGGAGGGCCATTTGTATGCCTCCTCATCCTCCCAAAAGGCATCCGGTTCTAAGGATGTTGACTCCTCAGAGTTTGATTGCTAGAAGGTATCGTCACGCCTACGTCCTCAAACTCCTCCAAAATATTGTCACTGGGTGTGCTGGGTGGCTGGGTGCACCCAGAGGGTCAAAATATTCTATATCAGCCGGCACTTCTGCGGAACCGTCTGATCTGGTGTCGGGGTCAACAATCGTCTGCTTCGTCCCAACCATCCTTTGCTGCACATGCACAACGACGGTCGGATTCGTGCACTACAAGAAATAGGTCGTTTTCCGACATAATTGTTCCAACGGACGAAATTTCCGTCGGAAATTTTAAATTTTCCGACGGAATTTGAGTCTGTCAGAAAATTCCGCCGGAAAAGGTTTGTTGAGACGGAAAATCCCTCGGAATATTTCCGACGGATTTTTTTTTCCGTCAAGAATTACTTATTCTGTCGGAAGCTGTAAATACCAAGGGATAAAAATCTGTCGAAAATAATAAATTTCTGAATGATTTAAAATCCGTAGGAAATTTCCGACGGATTTTACACATTTTCCGACGGAATTCTAGCATTTGAAAAAAAAATTAAAAAAAAAAACTAAACCCTAAAAAAGTCCCCAGCCCTTTTCTCTCTCCTTTCCTCCTCCCTCTCCGCCTCTCTTTCTCTCTCCTCTCCTCTCTTCTCTTCTTCTCTTTCTCTCTCCTCTCCTCTCTTCTTTCCCCTTCTGTTTTTTTCATTTTCCTTCTCTTCATTCTCCGTTCTTTCCCCTTTCCTCGTTCTTTCCCCTTCGATTTCCTTCTTCTCTCCTCTTCTTGGATCTCCTCCTTCTCTCCTCTTCTTTCCCCTTTTTTGACCACTCTAATGGCGACACAACAACGACAACAACCACACCACCGCGCTACGACAACTACAACAACCACACCAGCAGCAACGACACCACTGCAACGACAACGACACCAGCACGCAGCAACGACAACAACAACATTTAGATCTAGTTTTTTTTAAAAACAATTCTAATTATAATTAATTTTTGATATAATTGTAATTTTTTTTTATTAATTTCAGAAGATAATTGTATATTTTATTTATATTGTTCGATTTCAATTGGTTTTGTTTATTTTTTTCGTTTTTTTGGTTTGGATCTGGGTTTGGTTTATTCGGATCGATTTGGTTTGTACGAATTGGTTGTTCTGGATTTTTTTGCGTTTTTTCAAATTTTTTTCTTTTTTTCTCGGTGGGTGGGTTAGGGGGTGGGTCAGGTGGTCTGGGTGGGTGTGGTGGTGGTGGTTTTTTCTGGGCAGGTATGGTGAGTGAAGTACGGTGGGGTGGGTGGGTGTGGGTGGGTGGGTGGTCTGGGGGTTGTTCTGGGCAGGTGGGGTGGGGTGGGTGGGGGTGGTCTGGGTGGGTATGAGTGGGGGTTGTTCTGGGCAGGGTGGGGTGAGCGTGGGGTGGTCTGGGTGGGTGTGGGTGGGGGTTGGTTCTAGGCAGGTTAGGTGGGTGTGGTTGGGGTGGGTGGGGGTGGGGGTTTTTCTGGGCAGGGTGGGGCTTTTTTTTTAGACTTTTTCGTCGGAATATACCTTTTCTGACGGAAAATTCCGTCGAAATATTCCTCTTCCAACGAAAATTTCCGTCGGAAACCTCTCCACCTCCGACGGAAATTTCCGTCGGAACATTGCGACGGATTTTCAAATAAAGTCAAAAAAAGCGCCGACATAAATAAATCCGTCGGAAATTCCGCCGCAAACTAGCCTTCCGACGGAATTTCCGTCGGAAAAGGTCAAAATCCTACAAAGTTGTTTACAACAGACAGTTTCCGTCGGAAGGCTTGTTTCCGACGGAATTTTCGTTGTTTCCGACGGATTTTTTCAGTCGGAATCAAGCTGTTTTCTTGTAGTGGTGGAAGAGAAAGGGTGGTTCAAACACCCCCAGACGGCATCCCCAGTCCTAGACTCAGCCGTATCAGGAGACTGGCTGACAACTGTCCTAGGCCGTGCCGTGTGTGTGTTGGGTGAGTCCATTATTCTTTACAAAGTATACAACCAGAAAAGCTCAAAAGAGTTGCAAAGGGTAGAGACGGTAGCTTGAAGAAGCTTTAAAAGTGGAGAAGGTTGACTAGCTGAATCAGCAGCCGGAAATATGTCAATTGCTTGCTAAATACCCAGACGGTTGCCTGGATGTACCCTCTTTGAAAGCAATCAAAGATTGTTGAGGAACCCAGGCGTTTCTCTGAAGCCTTGCTTAATGATACCCCAGACGGTTGACCGGATGTGAGTGTATTGGAAGCAGAAGGAAGCAATTAAAGTATGCTCAAACGGTTCTAATAAGCTTAGAGTGATGGTTTCCCCAGGCGGTAGCCGCTTGAGACAAGAAGAAACAAGCGGTTATGAAAGGAATGGCAGCCGGTCTCACAACTCTCTTTCTTCTCTCTCAGAAAATTTCTCAAAATGTGAAGTGAGGAAAATGAGGGGGGTGGACTTATACTTATAGAGGAAATCCCCCAGAAGCTGAACCATTGCCTCAAAAAAAAAAAAATAAGAGACAGAAGGAGGCGAATCGTCACCTTCTCAGATGGTGACACCTGTCACAGGTGCCACATGACAAGTCACGTCACACCTGTGAGGGGAAAATGTTTAGGGTTAAAATACCCCGGTCCACGTGGACCAATAGCATGCTGACACATGTTACCCTCAGAAAGCATCTGAAAGAACCAATCCTCTGACAACACGTGGCAGTCCAGGCCAAGTCATGAAAGGGGAGTTGATCCTCAAACCCTATAAATAGGGAGAGATCCCCATTTATTGCACATTTAGAAATATCCACGCAAATCAGAGCAATATTAATTGCAAATATTCTCTCTTGGAATCCGAGAGAAACTCTTTACATTCCGCACTTTAAACTCTGTCCGTACACATACTCACTTGATCGTCGGAAGCAAAACTCCACCCAATCGGAGTTTCCGTGGTTTTGCAGGTACAGACGGTCAGCATCCATTCTTGGAATTGTAACTCTCCCGATGGACTCCAAAAACCCCAAAACAACTTCTGAGCTAGATTTTGCTTACATTTCCAAATTATATCCTACCCTCTCAGCCTAGCCTCATTGTATGCTTAACAAGTCTTTCTAATCTTTGTACATGAGAGTTTTGAAAACCTTTGAACTTAGGTGTTCTGAGTTGTATAACCTCGTCCTTATGGCAGCCGCCAACCTTAGTCTTTTGCTTCTTTTTATAAAGATCAAATTCAAGCATAATTCTAATTGGTTTAAGAAGAAGTTAAACAAGTCGAGGGAGTTTAAAGGGAGTATTGTTATGCATAAACAATTGCATAACGAGGGATAAGGGAATGATTACATGTAGTGTATATTCTAACTTTAGAGTAGTACCATTGAGTGATCAATAATACCATTAGGTGATCAAATAGTACCATTGAATATTCAGTTGTACTATGTATGTAGTGGTACTATATATGCATTCAGTGGTACTAATTACATGCATATATAGTATCAGTAAACAACCAATGATATTATATAAGCTTTCAGTGTTACAATTAAAAGTGGTTACACTCACCTTTCTCTCTCCCTCAGTCCCCCTTTCTCTCTTTTCCATGTAATTTTTTTATATTTTAGTATTTATTATGCATTTGCAAATACATAACAATACTATATTAGTATTTCCTCAAACAAATCATGACAAATAGCACAAGGATTAACATTTAAGAGAGTTTCAGCCAAACACAATTCTTTTCTTTTTGGCATGGCAGCATATATCTGTTGCAATTGAACACGTCAGTAGTTTTTTCGCACAGAACAGCAACTGGTATACTTTGTCAAATTACAAGTAACAGTTCATACACATGGCAAGCTCAAATGACCAAATAACAAACCTGATCCACTGATTTTATTCATGCAATGGGTTTGATCTATTCGACTTAAAGAAATAGGGGCTATGAGGAATCAAACTCCCATCAAATGGGGGAGATCGGAGATGGAGGGACTAACCATCCCTCCATCTCCTCGTCCCTCAGGTCAAAACTTATTATGTCCATATGAAGTTACATTAAGAACCCCACGAGAACCAAGTGTGCGTCACATAGTCAACAGACAACACCATTTGTCAATCATAATGTTTGTATTAGTAAGTCCAATGGACAAACATATTAGTAGATCATATTTACAGTTCAACCAACAAAAATATCAGGACAAACAACAGACCCTACACTAGTACACCAAAATTTTAACCATCCCCGCCAATTTTCCAAAACCCTATCATTGTACTCCATATGTGTGAGTCTGATATCTCATCCACCACTCCAAAAGATATTAAACACACCCTCTTCAAAGCTGCAGCAATGCAACAAAGCTACAGTCTCAGTACTAGCATCATTCAAGATTCAACATACACCAACTCAAGTGAAAAATGTTGAGCTGAAGGAAAGCTCAACCAGTCCAAGTACTAGCGTCGTTTACCATACAATAACTGGAGTGAAAAATGTTGAGCTTAGAACGGAACAGTGAAGGGCAATGCATATACTTCTGCATTGGCCAAGTAATGGGCCCGTGGCTGCATTACAGCAGAGGCCGAGCAAGGAAGATTGTCAACCTGGCTTGGAGCATCATTACTGGCTCTCAATCTTTTGGCTGATCTGTCTTCATCCTTCTTACCAAAAAGCCAGTCTTCGTCATCTTCTTCAACCATTTCTAGAGCAGGTGGCACCCAATCCACAAACAATTGCTTAAACGTTGATTCTTTTTTCTGCATCCTTCTGTCATGAGATGATAGTTTCTCCAATGTGTTGACCTTGTCAAGCAATGGAAGAATACCCTTCTGGGATACTTCCGATTTCAAACCAGAGACTTCTGCTGAAACTCGTTGTAAAGTAGCAGTACTAGTGGAAGTAGAACAGGGAAGTAGACCTTGAGCTTCTGAGACTACATCTTTCTGTCTGAGGGATGTGTCTTGCGTTGCACCGCTGTCACAAGGCCACACTTGGCTGAGTAATAAGACAGGGTCTTCTCTTGCCTGTGGGAGCTGACTAACTTCTTGCCCTTTGCTTCCTGATGTACTAGGTTCATCTCTCTTTTGAGATGATGATGACAACCGAATTCTAATTATGTTTCCTGCAAATTTGTCAAAGCAATGTAATTAGCACAAATTTCAAGTGACAAATAAATGACCAATACAAACTACCCCAATATGAAGGGGTATACTCACCATTGCTCTGAATGCCACTAGGAGATGGCATTGACCTTTTTCTCTTGCCACTGTTTCCAGTGCTATCAGAAGAGCAAGGTGCATTCTGAGTGTCAATGGGCTGGCCATGTTCTTCAGTAACACTACTCCTCTCCAGCAGTTCAGCATTTGTCTTCTGCAACTTCCCATTAGATTCGACCAGCACATTTTCGGGTTTAGTTAATTTATCAACAAAATCTTGCTTCCCGCTTTCAGCAGCAGGGTCACTGGCCTTAGCCCTCTTCTCTCTCTTCTTTTCTTTCTTTTCTTTCTTCTCTTTCTTCTCTTTCTTCCGTTCTTCTTTGCTTTTCTTGTCCTTCTTCTTGTCTTCTCTGTCTCTCTTCTTCTCTTTTTTATCTTCTTTGCCTTTCTTCTTATCTGAAGATGATTTGGACTTTTTCCTTTCTGAAATGACCTTCTCTAGTTCCTTGTTCGCATTTGCCTTCTCCTTTTCTTTTTGGAGCTTTAAAAGCACCAGAGTAGAAATTCAGACCATATAATGGCAGCAAGCCAATAAAACAAGCATAACCAGAATGGAAAGATTCACAATCCATTCCTAGGCAACAACTTATCCGAAACCGAAAGCATGCAATGCGCAACCAAAACCACATTGTCTTTAAACTAGACAAGTTTCAAGTCCATATGCATATAAGCACGGGTCAAGAAAATCAAGGGTATCCTGGGAAACATGATTTTTCTAATTCTAGTGCCGCAACACACAAAATGCCAGCACCCAAAAACAAACCCAACACCGAACATAAATGTTCATCACTGCACAGAACACAGAATACACAAAGCAACCATTCACATCCAAAAATCCAAAAACCATTTTAAGTCAAAAATCCATTACAATAAGTATCAAACATACCCAAAAACAAGTTTTAAAACCCATTCAATTCTACACACATAGTTCAGTTTAAAAACATACTTTAATCAGCAGAACCTTAAAATTTTCTGAAAACAATTTTCATGGTTATAAAAAAACATTGGTTTATTTCTTTAAAACAAATTCAATTGATTAATAAGATGAATGTCATGAATCTACTCATAGAGTGACACTTAAGTGCAAATTCAGTATTGTTTATTTATAAAAGAGTTAAACCCAAATCAGAATAAGTTTAAACTAGAGTTTAATCCCAAATAAGTATCTTAAATTAAAAACAGTGTTAAAATTCCAAATCAGTATCTTCAATTAAAAAGTGTTTAATCCCAAATCAGAATTATTAGTACCTTCTATAAAAACCAGTACTTAATCCCAAAATACTTTGATACAGTAATCAGAATTTACACTATTTGCCATCAAACCCTAAAAAACTTAATCCTCAAAAGTATAGGGATAATCAATAAACCCAAGTTAATCGTTTCATACCTCAACATTCGGCTCAATAAACCCAAAGATTCAGACTACTTCACCTCAATATTGTACATTGCAAAAAAATTGTCTATCGGACCGATTCGATTATATATACATACACGATCTATCTAATGCGAATTGCAATTTTTACAAAAACAATACAAAAAAGAACAATTTGTACCCTTTTCTGTTTCTTTTCTAAAACAAAATACAATTTACATCTGAAATTTTCGATAATTTCTTTACAAATATACATACATATATACAAATAATTCATCACAAATTTAACACATGTCGAGCATGTCATCATGATCATGATACTTTTTGATAAACAAAACTACACAAAATTTTGATTTATTTTTCAAAATTTGGGTGTTTTTGGGGCTCAACAAACCTTAATCGATAAGATCAAGGCCTCGTGGCTTGAGCACTTCCCAGCATACCCAGGTGGCGGGTATGGATAACATCGAGCCATCTTCCCCAACAATACCAATTACAAACTACAACACCCAAAATCCAAATTAAAACCCGTCTTTTTTTTCCTTTGATTTTCCTTTTCTCTCTCAAATCAAAGTACGATTCGAATCGAAGAAACCCTAAAAATAATTCTTCGCTGAAAAATCGACAGATCTGTGAATTCTAGATCCTATCAATTGAAGATCTGGAGATTATAGATCGCTTGGCGGTGTTACGATTGAATTGGAAAACAAAAAATTAGAAAGCGAATTGAATTTGAAACCCTAGGGTTTGTTCGTCGTCGGCGGAAGAAGAGAGAGAAAGAGAAACTCCTCAAGGAATCTTATGAGAGGAGGAGATCAAATGTGAGATATGAAGGAAGGAACCCTTATTTATAGCCTAACTTTTAGACTTTTAGGTGTTTACGCGTTCGTTTTTTATGATTTGTCTGTTTTGCCCTTATTCTTTGTTTTTATTTTCGTTTCTTTGTTTTGGTTGCGTGTAAAGGTTGATGTCTAATGTTGTAATTACATGTCTATATTTTTAATTTTAATATTTGTGTAGCTTGGAAAGATTTGGGTTGGGCCTTATTATTGTGGTGTCTGAGTCTGACCTTAATCTGTTGAACCCTACCCAATATTGTTGCCTTAGAACATCCACAATGATTATGCATAAGAACCTACTAGCAATTTTTAAATAGTAGTAATTGCTAGCTCTATGCTAGTCATTGTGGAGCTATAATCTCTAGAGATATGTAATTTCACTCCACCCAATACTATTATATTTATTTATTTAATATATATTGTGTATTTGTTAAAATATTTATTTATTTATTATATGTCATTATGTGGGACATAATAAAATTATAAAAAAAGTAGTTTGTCATTGTAGAGGTTGTAGTTTAAATCATTTAATTTGAAAAATAATGATGTGGCAATCCTTAGCAGCTAGCCATTGTGGATGCTTGTCTACTACGTATAATTAATGGATTGTGTGGAACCAAAAAACTTTGGAAATTTATTGTCAACTATTATTTCCAAACAAAAAAAACAAAAAGGTTTTTTTAAGGTAATAAAAAAAATTTATACAATATTATGTACTCCGTATATTTCTTGAGATTTCTTGATCTCTATATTTGAGATATCTATTACAAAGTAAATTTATGTTTTTCACATAAAAATTAGGAAAAGATACCCCTTTTTTTAACTTATAATCTAAATTTTTTTTATTATTTGATTAATACTATTATCTTATTTGTTATTTTCGAATTAAAAAAAAAAACTTGAATATCTTGAATAAATTGCCATTAGAAGAAGAAGAAAAAAAAAACAATCTTTGGCCGATTATCCATTAATAAAACAACATTTTGATTAACCTACAACCACCTTTGAAGGTATCTACTTTAAATAGAATAAAATTCATGTAACTTGTTAACCAGATAATTTATTTTTATACATTTTATTTAAAACATTGATTTAACATTTTAAAAAAAAAAACCTCAAACCCTTTCTTCTCCTCCCTCTTCCACCACAGCCACCTTATGGCTACACTTACCTTCGAACACCCCACCTCTAAGTAACCTCTTGCATCATAACAGGTAGCCCTCACACTCTAACAATAACAATTAACGCAACGACATTGACCAACAACACTCCCTCTTTAGAGGTAATCAAAAATTCAGGCAGCGGGCCAAGCTTTAACATCAAATGTCATGCTCAAACCCGCAAAAAGTGGTAGGCTTGTCGGGCCAAACGAGCTTTTCGGGCCGAGTTTGAGTTTTTTAACTTTATAAAGTGTTTTTTTCGCTTGCGCCGCCCTATTTTCTGACCGGATCGGACCGAGCTAGTGGATTAGGCCATAGCTGATCACCTCTACCCCTCGTGAAGGTAATCACAACAACCTTATTAGTTAGGTTGATGGGGTTGGAATATGATGGGTTGGGTTGGTTTCCGATTGTGGGGGTCAATAATCAGGTGGGTTTAGGTGGTTTTCAAGCGATGAAGGTGGTTTTAGGGTTAGCCAACTTTAGTTTATTTACATTTTGTAGGACTTTAGGTACTATAAGCAAAACTGCATGAATCATATTCATAAGCGCCTAAACAGGATCTACAAGCATAACACATAAAGAACACATAATTGAACCTTTGAAGTGTGATTCCACGAGTGATCGAGCAAGAACAATGAGGAGATCTAGAATCCCAAATGTGATTCCTCTACTTGGTCCACGGGCACAAATTGAACCTCCACTAATGCTAGTTAGTTGCGATTGAACCCTTCAATCAACCTTTTACGGAGAGGAGAGGAGACAAACGAGCCACGAACCACCACCACCACCATGCGTCCACTGTGCGCCGGTGTCTGTACCGTACGGACAAGGGGGAGGAAGAGAGAGGCGTGTGAGAGAAAACGGGGTTGGGAGTTGGTTGCTTGATTCACAATTCACTACTTAGGTTAATTGTGACTTGTATATCAACCCTAGGCATGACCTCTATTTATATATCACATATATAATTAGAGTTCATGTGAAGCCCAAACTCCTAACCCAATTGTAACTACACTAGGCCTACTCCTTACATGGCTTGTCATTACCTCATGAGGCCTATTAATGGGCTTCATACTTGTTCTATCCAATACCCTTGTGTATGACCTCATAGGATCCATTCTATTGGGCTTTGGGATTATTTGACTAGTCCAAAGATCATTTACCATATCTAGCAACAGACAATGACGACCCAAAAGAATGAACTAATTATCTCTTTAATAGTGATCCTTGATATATCTAGTAATTGCACTTGATGAAGACATAAATCCTTCAATCTCCCACTTGTCTAAGACAAGTGTGCAATATTCAAATTCCTTAAGTCAATGTGTGTCAATTTGATAATATGATTGCATCTCATGTCGTAATCATATTAATCTACAAATATTTTCTTGAAAATTGAGTTAGAATTCCAAAACAAATGATTACTAGGTAATCCATTTGAGCACGGCCATGCATTTTCAGAATTCTCTCTCTTCAAGGGGCCATGACACATTCCTAATTAAATAGGTAGACTCAATCCAACATTGTGGCAACCAAAGCTCCCACTTAACTTTTGAAGTAACCAGGAAACACCTTTTATAGTCCCCTTTTACGGAATGACGTTTGGGTGTACCACAGTTAAATCAATCATTGAATGAAATCAATGTTCCACTCATGTCAAAGGAATCCACTAATATATCCGAAAGCTCTATACTTGAACTTCAAAGTAGGTCAATAGTTCAATCATGCATCATTCATGCATATCCATGTCATTGACCGAGCATCTCTATGCCCCTATAGCTAAACCTGGGCATCGTGTCGTGTCGGGCCGCCGCGGGCCGTGCCTAGCGGGCCACAGTCACCGGCGTGCCCAGGTTTTTGTGCCGTGTTGTGCCGGCCAATTTCAAAGGCCAGCCCACGGCCTGGCACGGCCCTCGTGCCTGGCGGGCTCGTGCCGTGCCGGCCTTCGTGCTGGCCTAGCGGGCTGGCTGGCGGGTTGGCCTAGTAAAATTTGTTTTTTTTTTATTTATTTATTTTTAGTTAACGGTTAATAACTTATAAATTATAAAATTTTAATTATAACTTATAAGTTATAATTTTATAACCTATAATTTATAAAATTATAATTATAACTTATAAGTTATAAATTTATAAGTTTATAACTTATAAGTTATAAAATTATAATTATAAGTTATAAGTTATAAAATTATAAGTTATAAAATAAATTAAGTTGAATATTTATGTTTTATTACCTATAAATTTATATATTTAGTTTATACTATTACTTTAAAATTTAATGTTTATGATTTATTAAATATTTTTTTGTATTGTTAATTGGTATAATTTTTTTTTATATATTAATTTACAAATTATAACAAAACGGGGAAAAAAAGGCAAATTGGACTTTGGATGTGAATAATGCATACTTCATATTATTATTACTTGAGTTGAGAAAATTGTACAATGATAACAATGAAAAAAATCGTACAATGATGGTATTAAACAAAAATTGGATAATGATAATATTGATAAACGATAATGATTAAAATCGTACAATATACAAAAAATGTCTATTCTTCTTCTTCTTGTTGCTCGTCTTCGTCTTTGGCTTCGGCTTCATCGGCTAGTTGGATAGATTGGGAACTAGCCGAACCCGAACGGTCGGAAGCGGAGGTTCCTTCATCGTTGTCGTTGTCCTCGTAAGAACGGTCTTGTGAGCGATTTTCCGCATCCAACCAACCTTTGAAACACACGCACATTTCTAGTGTTTCGGGTTTTAGACTTGTTCTTCTATCGTCCAGAACCCTTTCGGATGCGCTGAAATCTTGTTCGGAGGCAACATAGGAGACTTGGATACCAAGAATGTCTCGTGCCATTGCCACCAAAGTTGGATGCTTCCCGCTTTATCTCATCGTTGTCCATGTCTTTGGTGAAGTCGTAACTCACGTACATCTGCAACTCCGAGACGTCGCTTTGCGTTCTTCTGATTGATGAATCACCTGAAAACCTTGAAATCAAGTTAGTATCTTGTGAAAATAAATGTTTGGCCTTCTAACTTACATTTTTTGGATGGTTGGGAAGGGCCTGAGCGAGGAACTGTGCCATATTTGATTTCATAAACTCTATATAAATAAAAAAAACTGATCCTTCACATGAGTCTTATAGGTTTCTACATCATCGTCAAGATTCATGCATTGAAAATAAATGTCAACTAACATAAATGTGTTTTCATACTTTTGCCTAGGATCTAATAGGATGCAAAAATATAAATCAAAGGAATTTCACTGTAATATTTACGCCACTTTGTTTCCATTGCTGGAAGATACTGATCATAATCACTTTGACTGCGATGATCAGCGAAAAGTTGGGCAAGTAAACATGCATTAGAAAGAAAGTTTTGAGCACAAGGATTGTAAACAGAAGAAAAACAAAACGTCATGTTATATAATAACTGTAAAAATTGCATATATCTTTCACAGTTATACCAATCATCATCATATAAAGCAATTTGTGGAAATTTTTGGTTGTAAAATATTGTTAACGGATTCTTGTACTCAATTTTGCCTTGGTTAACATGTCATAGGTGGAATTCCACTTAGTTGGGCAATCGGTTTTAATTTTTATTGCCCTTATCTTTTGTTGTTTTAGAAAACTCTTCCATTCTTGGTATCTCATGTTTGAGCTATTAATAGACATAATAGCATCTCTGATTTTGTTGTAGTATGGGCCAATTGCCCGAACTCCATCCTGTACACATAAGTTAAGTACATGGCAAACACATCTAGTATGAAGAGCATCACCGTCTAATATTACATCGGTTAAGTTTTGTTTGACAAGATTAGCTGTGTATGTCATAGAGGTTGCATTGT